TTATTATATTATATTATATTATATTATTTTTCAATTACTTTTTTTTTGAATTTTTTTTTTAAAGGATATTACATCACCACTACAGCTGACCTCGGCAAATACCTGGGAGTCCCGATTCATCACACAAAGGTCTCCAAGCAGACGTTCCAATTCGTTTTGAGTAAAATGGATAGTCATCTTGGTTCCTGGAAAACCAGATCCTTGTCTATGGCTGCTCAGCAAACGCTAATCTCGTCAGTTGTATCGGCGATCCCAGCTTACACCATGCAATCCACAAGTATACCAGTGAACGTCTGTGATACGATTGACAAAAAATGCCGTGACTTCTTATGGGGTAGTACTGGGTTGGCAAGACGCCCGCACCTGGTGGCGTGGGATGATGTTTGCTACAGAAAGGAAGTAGGGGGCCTTGGACTTCGCAAGGCTCAAACGCTGAACACGGCTTTTATGATGAAACTTGGATGGGGTCTAGTCAAGAGACGAGATGCTTTGTGGGTGCAATTCATGAGGGAGAAGTATAAATGCAGTGCTGATATGCTCCCGAGGATCAGCACAACGAAGGGCGGCTCTGAAGCATGGAAAGGAATTAGGAAGGCATGGGACGCGACCAAAGAGTGTGTTGGCTGGAAGCTTGGTGACGGGACTCGTGTTAGTTTCTAGGATGACTACTGGCTCCCCCACCATGACAAACTTATAAAGCATACCAGTAGGAACGTCGACGTGACGTTGCGAAATCTGAAGGTCTCGGAGTTGTTGACGGCCTCAGGTGGTTGGGACTGGGGCAAGTTCGCACACCTACTGCCTCTATCTGTGATCAACAGTATTGCACGTACGTACCCTTCGGTCCCAGGTGGTACAGCGGATATCCCCATATGGCGACCGGCCTCAAACGGTGCTTTCTCGGTGAAAACCACCTACCAAAAACTGTGCAGCGAGAATGCAACGACCAGCAATGGAGCTTGGAGGAGGATTTGGAAACTGCACGTGCCCCAACGTTGCAAGACATTCCTCTGGATTTGTCGCAGAGGGAGACTATTTACAAATATGGTGCGAAACGCGAGAGGACTCAGCTCTAATGGGGCGTGCTACTTGTGTAATGGAAGGGAAGAGGTTACCTTGCATGTCCTTCGCGATTGTTTCATCGCCAAAGAGTGCTGGGAGCTCATCTTACCGGCTCAGTCCAACGGCAAGTTCTTCAGCATCTCGACTCCGCAGGCCTGGATTGATTGGAACGTCACCCAAAGATTCCTAATTATGGGGGTGGAATGGAGGGCGTGGTTTGCAATCCTCAGTAGACAGTTGTGGCTAAACAGAAACGCTAGTGTCTTTCAGGGTCGTGCCATGGGCGCTCGCCAAGTTGTCGCTCAATCTCGAGCTCTAACGAGGTGGTCTAAGGGTGAGTTGTGTAGGGTACAGATCGAAGGGGAGAACACCACTCTGTGGCGTGCACTGTTTATGGGATGGGTCAAGTATAATACCCATGGTGCGTGTGCTCAGAACGGTGCCTTAGCAAGTTGCGGAGGAGTCCTGCGAGACCACAAGGGTGAGTTCCAAGATGGTTTTATGTTTAATATAGGAAGGGGGAGCAGCCTCCATGCTGAGGTCTGGGCAGTTCTATAGAGCCTTAGAAGGGCGTGGGACCTACAATGGAAGAAGGTGGTGATTGAAACGGATTGTTGGGAATTAGTGGAACTCATCAGTTCAGACTGGGACGAAGACCACCCGGAAGAGAGCCTCCTCCTGCAAGTGGGTGAATGGTTAAACAAAGATTGGGATGTGCAAATCGACTGGTGCAGACGAGAATCAAATATTGTTGCAGACAGGTTGGCAAAGGAAGCGCTGCAGAGAGCAAGTGGTCTGATGGTCTTCTCCTCTCCGCCGGAGTTTATTTGCGAATCTCTCTTGCATGATGTCCGGACGTAGTCATATCTAAGGGTCTTTATTTTACCAAAAAGAAAAAAAAAAGAAAAAATGAATGTAATTAGTTGTTTATAAAAAAATGCATGATTTTCTTAAAAATTTTGTTTAATAATTTGTATTGGAACTTTGACTTATAAATAAAATTTATATGTGCAATCAATAAAAATAATTTAAAAAAGATAAATTTAAGACACGAAGGATGGAGTATTAACATTTTGTCTCTACTAATTATTGACTAATCTCATTATATTAACTATCAACTCTCTCTCAATCATTGCCCTCTTTATTATAAGGAATATTTAAAAAATAAATCATATTTTTTATATATTTATTGTCTTTTAATTAATTTTTATTTATGTAATTTAATTATTTTTATCCTATAAAAAAACTCAAAAAGTATTTTATGGAACATTAGAACTTATGTTGTTAAATACTCCCTCCGTCCTCTTTCATAATATTTCCTAAATATAAAAAATAAATCTTCTTAGTCTGAAATTTTAAATTTGTCTTTTTATTTTTACACTCAATAAATATATACCACTTATTATTTCTCTATAATAAATTCTCAGTACTTTCTTTACAAATAAGGATATAATTAAATATATATATGCATCTTACACGTTTATTACTTTTAACTAAATTTAACTAATATTTTAAATCGGGTAAATTTGATAGTTGTTTATTATAAAAAAAGATAGAAGAAGTATTAGAAATCATTTATACATATACACATATAGACATAACATCAAGAAAAATTTCCCTTCTTTTACGACAAAAGAAGAATTCCTTTTAGGTACAAAGGAGGTTGATCCCTGCTTAAAACAATGCACAAAACATGGAAGCAGCAGTTAAAACTGAAAATATAATTATTATGATCACTAATCATGATTATCACGTATGTGAGAAGTTACGGTGACTTTTCTTTTTTTGTTTTATAAAATTATGGGCCACATGAATGCTACCAGTTTATATTATTTATAAGTTATAAATAGTACGATCTGTTATTAATTTATATTTTATATTAATATTAACGGTTTTGATCACATATAACAAGTGAAATTATCCAAATTTTGACCCCAAAAGTGGGGCAGAAGTGAAATTAATAAAAACAGATTTGAATACTTTTTCAATTTTTGGGATTACGTTAAACAAGAAAGGACACGTTTATGGAAATGCTCGTCACTGTGCTTGACGGTCACTAATATTTTCTATTTTTTTATTTTAAAAATTTTTGACAATGACTACTTAACTCTGGGTAATGGGTTTTTAATAAATCTTTTTTTAAAATTATTTTCTGTTCAGCTCAAAAAAAAAAAATTTTTTGTCTGTTTAGTGTAACTTTTATTGGGATTTAATAAGTTGGACTTATTTTGATCACAAATGTAATATAATATGATATATGAAATAAATTGAGTGCCAATGCAATTTTTAAATTAATTCTGTAGAAGCTTTTGTTCACTAAAATTTAAACCAAATTGAGTATATAGTTTTAGTAAATTAAATTGACCTAAATGAAATGAGTTTTATAAATAAATATATATTTATATAGATTGATAGTTACCAACACGTTATTGGTTTGGTACAAATAAATGATAAAATGTGAGGTTTTAGCATGTTACCTGCAAGAGAATTCGCAAAGTGAACCATAAGTTACATTCTAATCCATTTATGTAGTCTGATTCTGTTTTGGTAATGTTACAAGTTTTCTAATTTTCTAAATATGTCTATGTCTATAAATATACTCCTCTAATCCTCAATATATGACATAATTGTTAAATTAATTTTGATCCTAAATATAAGACATATTTCTCATATTTATCATTTTTTAAATTACTCCTATGGATACTCCCTCAATCATAATCAAGTAAGTGAGGGAGGAAGGATATTAAGAAAGATAATTATGATATTTGAGGAAAAATATGTCATATTTCTTATAATTAACTAACTTACCTAGCTTCTTTAATCTAATCAAATTAGTTAAATAGGTCTTATATTAAGGATCAAGTGAGTATATATTTATTATCCAAATTATCTAAAATTAGGAGGCTTATTGAGAGACAGCAACGGCCATTCTGAGTTCAATTCCCACTTGATTTATTGGCATATTTTCATGCTTGAAATTTTCTTTAGAGTTATTTTTATCTAAGCCCTAACAATACCTGAATCAAATCTGATAATACTCCTCTAGTCTTTAGTGCAGGACATAATTAGAAAGTTAAGACTTATTTTATATGTTTATTAATTTTTTTCTCAAATTAATCCTATAGATATTTTTGTTCCAACAATAACAGTAGGAGAAGAAGGAAGAAAATTTTAAAAAAAATGCTTACAGTGTTTTAAGGGAAAAAAACATATCATATTAACGAATTCAACTAACATCTTTGCAAGTATAAATATATTGAGTGTTCTACTATGCTTTCTATATTTCTGTTTTTGTTTTTACTTTTTTTGGGGGGTAGTTGGTTATGAATGTTTATAAGTATTTAACTTGACAATTGGAATCAAAATGATCTTAGCTGAACAGTTCAAATTTGTTCAAAATAGTCGTTACTTTTGAGAGGATCATTAATTTATTATACATGATTTAGCGAACTATTTATAGTTTAAAGAAGAAGCAACCAAAATTTTAAGCAGCAATAGAATTCCAATGAGAAGATGTGTCCATATTTAGTACCTAATAATGTCTCGAATAAGATTACCTCTAAAGATTAAAAAAAAAAAAATTAACTAACGAGTTCATTAAAAAAAAGCAGCAAGTGCAACCTCAAGCAGAACAAAGGAACTGTGAAGGGTAATGCAACTGGTCAAGAAGAACAAGTTGAGCAACAATGAAATGTGAAGCATATTTAGTTGAAGATTAAATGCAAATAAGTATGATAACAATATATAATTAACTTTATTGAATTTTTCTTCTTATTGCTATTAACTCAAGAATCCAGTAAGATGTCCCAAAAATAAAAAAAGAATCCATTAACACTCTCAGAAATCAAAAGGGAAAAAAACGAAAAGGAGAAGAAAAAAATAGTTGTGTCGAACAGAAATGAAAAGATAGCTTTAATTTTCGCTAATTTTTATTCTTGTGCTGACATGTTCTGAATCCAAGCTTGGAGATCAGAAAGTACAAGCTATTCAGCAAATAGATCAATAGTAATCCAAAAGCCACAACTATAATTGCTGGATGGATATGGATTGAAGCTTTCATTTCTGCTATAACAGACTCTTTAGACTTTACATATATATAATTGAATAACCATGACGGAGAATAACAAACATTGAGAAAGGAACTGATAAGAACACAAGCTTCCGTTCCCCCCCCCCCCCCAACTATGAATATATGCAATTCATGACTTCAAACCTACTTTGGCACTGGAAGAAGACGAATGAAGCAGTGAGGATACAGAGAAGATTGTATTATTACTATTGCCTTCTGGGTACAAATTCTGCACTGCTGCTAATGATGAAGATGTTGCCTTGACGTCATTTGCAGGAGATCCCTTTAGAAGTGCATCAACTTTTGCATATTCTTCTCTTTCTTGTTTAATCTCCTTCAGCATTGCTGCAACATCTTTCATTGTTGGCCTCTCATCTGGGGATGAGTTTACACACAACAAGGCTATGCCTACTGCCTGCATCATTTCCTCTATTTCTGAATCTGGTCTTGACAGTAAGCTCTGGTCAAGCACTTCAACCCCCCTTTTCTGTCTCACCCAATCAACAACATGCTGGCCATCCGGTATTGTCGGGTCTATCGGTTGCTTGCCCGTCAAGACTTCCAACATAACAACACCATAGCTATAAACATCGCTCTTCTCTGTGATCTTCATCATGTAGCCATATTCTGAAATTACGTGAAAAGCCAAATATCAATATATAAGATGAATCATATAGAATATATTCAATAAGTTGCTGTCTACATTTGTCATAATATCTTGAATCTTGAGGCATCTAGGATACATACTGTGTACTAACCAGTATCAAGATATTATGAGATAGATGACTCTATTTTAGATGGCATGAATACCACCCAAAAAGCTATAGTGATATCACATCCAAGAAACTAATATAAAATATCAATTGCATTCTTTCTGTAAAAACTTTCAATGATTATACTAAACTTCCTAATTTTAAATTCTATGACATCTTTTTTTTCCGATACAGAATTCTATGACATCTTATATGTTGGTCTCACAAGGAAATTTAAGGTAACAAGATATCAAGTAGCTTTGTTAGAGTATGCATGACATTTATGCTAGTTAGTTCAGCATCCAAGGAATTAGCTAATTAGGATTTCTGAAAGAACTAGTAGGATAAAGCTATTTAACTAAGATTCGTCTTTGATCATACATTACTTATATTTTCAATATCCAAAGAAGTCGAGTTTAATAGAAACAAGCCTACTTTTTGTTCTGCCAAAAACCAAGAATAGAATTTGGTGAAAAGTGTGGAAGAGGCACTAACCTGGAGCAATATATCCATAAGAACCAGCAACTGTATTAGAGGACCGACCAAAGCCACCATCATCAACTAGCTTAGCCAAGCCAAAGTCTGCAATATAAGGCTCAAACTCAATGCCAATGAGGATGTTATTGGCTTTGATGTCTCTATGTACTATGGGAGGCACACAGTCATGATGCAAATATGCGAGGCCTTCCGCAGCTCCTAATAGAATTCTGTACCTGAGTTCCCATTCCAGACAATTTCCTGTCCTCTCATGAAGTAGACTACTTAGACTTCCATTTGCCATATAATCATATATCAGCAGTCTTGTGTTTTTATTCCAACAACAGCCCAAGAATCTAACAATGTTCTTATGACGGATTGAGCCAAGGGTTTTCACCTCAGTTGAAAATGAGTCACGAATTCCACTTTTATCATCCTTGAATCCGTCTCCTACATCCATTGGTGTAGGCCACAATTTCTTCACAGCAATGACTTCACCATCATCCATTTCAGCTCGATAAACAACACCAGAGTATCCTTTTCCAATTATATTTCCTTCGACTAAACGTCTCAACACTTGCTCCACTGAAAAATTCAGCTTCTGGAATGGAATGAATTGCCATGGCCATAAGTCCCCTAGTTCTGAGTCATCATCTCTAATGGTTCTTCGTGCCTTTATCACTGCAATTATTCCCATTATCGTTAGTAGCACTGTTAAGACTACTAGCAAACCAATAGCTAGCTTAATCCTTTGTGACTTCCTCACGTCACTTCCATTCAGCGTCATGCTTGAAGCACTCACAAAGCACGAGTCTTGACCAGATGAGCAAAGCCCTTGATTCCCAATTAGGTCCTTTGCTGATAATTGCCTAAAAAGCTTATTATCTGGTAGATAACCTGTGAAATTGTTGTAGGAAATATTAAGAGAGACAAGATTATCTAGCCCTGCAAGTGAGTTTAAATCTCCCTCTAACTGGTTATGAGAAAGGTCTAGCATAGAAAGCTTGGTAAGAGCAGAGATCTGTTCTGGAATTGGGCCACTTAGAGAATTGCAACTGAGATTAAGAGCAATTTCAAGAGTCTCTATATGACCTAGCTCTGCTGGAATGCTTCCTGTGAGCTCATTGCTGCTGATATCAAGCATTTGGAGACTTGAACATTGGCCCAATGATGCCGGAATTGGCCCGGAAAACAAGTTTCTACCCAGGATTAGCTTATTTAGCGAAACAAGACGGCCCAAACTTTCTGGTATTTGACCTGAAAATCTGTTAGAAGATCCATCGAATACTTGGAGCAAAGATAGTGATGACAATGAATTAGGCAATGGACCTTCTAAGTTGTTATCGCCGAAGTCTATCATTTGCAGTTCCGTGCAGTTGCCAATCTCATCTGGGACCTGCCCAGAAAGGTGATTCTCATTGAGGTCTAAAAAGTTCAGGTTTTTAAGGCTCCCAATTGACTTAGGGATCCCGCCAGTAATCCTATTCTTCCCAAGCCTCAATCTTATAAGAGAACTACAGCTGCCTATTTCTGATGGGATTGAACCTGAAATATCATTAGAAATCAACAGTAGCTTGGAAAGGTTTTGAAGTTGAAATAGGCCGGCAGGAATGCTACCAGTAAGTTCGTTGTGAGACAAATCTAGTGCTTGCAGGTTACTACAATTTGCCAGAGGAGAAGGAATACTTCCTTCAAGTTGGTTTTGCCAAGCAAAGAAAACTGTGAGCTTTGATAACATCCCAAGCTCCGGGGGGATCAAACCTGAGAGCTGATTTGTGTCAACTTGCAGTTGTTGCAGATATGAGGCATTTGAAAGACTTGGAGGTATTGACCCAGACACATTGTTATCACTTATCATAAACTCCTCAAGTTGTAACAGATTCCCAAAAGATAAAGGTATACTACCAGATAGAGAATTCAAAGAGAGATCAATTCTTTTCAAGCTCGTACAGTTCCCAATCTCTTCTGGGATAGCTCCCACAAGACTATTCTGCCATAAAAACAATTGCTCCAGTTTTTGAAGCTTACCCAACTCAGATGGAATAGACCCGGATAGACTATTTTCATATAGGAATAAATCAACAAGTTCAGAGCAGTTACCGAGCTCTGCTGGAATCTCACCAGATAGCATTGTAGTGTAGATGGACAAAGTCTGAAGCTTGCTCAGTTTTCCCAATGAAGCTGGCAATGAGCCTGAAATACCAGTATCAGCCAGGCCCAGCTCAGTCAAATTGCTACAATCTCCAATCTCTTCAGGGATTTTCCCTACCAAATCTTTGTTTCCTCCAGCTCTAAGAACCTCAAGTTTTGACAACTTTCCTAGCTTAGGTGGGATAACACCACTTAGCTGGTTGTCAAAAAGGAGAATACTTTTCATGCTAATGCAATTGCATAGCTCAATGGGGATTTTTCCTGTAAGCTGGTTAGTGTTCAGAGACAAGCTCTCCAAGTTTTTAAGCTTACCTATACTTGCAGGGATATCCCCTTCAAGATTATTGGAGTTAAGGTCAATGACCGTGAGGGCAGAGCAGTCACCAATGTTAACGGGGATGGTTCCAGTGAGATTGGCATCAGAAACGACAAGTTTCTGAAGATGGGCAAATGAAGAGAGATTGGCAGGAAAAGGAAGCTCTAGAGGAATGGATTGTATATTGATCTCAGTGACAAAACCTTGCGGGGAACATGTTATGAAGGTCCAATTGCATGGGCTGGCGTCAAGGATGTTCCAGTTGGAGAAAGATGGAGGTGGTGGTGAAGCAGAGCTATGAAGCCAAGAGAAGAGAACAGATGCTTCATGATTTGCAGTGGATGCTAAACCATAAAGAAAAATGGACTGAAAGAGAACGATAAGAAAAGAAGAAGAGGAGGAAGAGACGCAGAAGGATTGCCTCGAGCTGGGCATTGAAACATTTGCCTCAAATTCCAAACCTTTCTTCTTGGGTTTGAGTCATTGGGTTTTGCACTTCCCCCCTCTACTTCTGTGAAACTGTGCTAGCTTTCTTCCTTTGAACTCAATCTCAGCACAGCAAAGCTCAAAAAAAAGGGGTGGGGGGAACCATTGCAGCAAGAGAATAAACTAAACAAAGGACGAACACCTAGAGATCAGAAAATCTGCAGAAGCAGCACCACCCCACCAAAGATGCTTCTCTCTATCTGTACGAAAGGATTAGAATAATGTAGTATTTGCCAGATGGTGTCTCTCTCTCAGACGTGAAAAGAGGCATCTATATAATTAATCCCTCTGTACTCTGTAGCAAGCTGCATACATTTCTGCTTCAATCGTTTGTTTATTTTCTCTGTCCAGCACCTACTCTCTCTAAGGCAGTGCTCTCTTTTTCTTTCTTTCTTTCTTTCTCTGTTGTGTCTCTCCTTCCAAGACATCAATATGAGAATCCTGGTTTATATTTTGTTATTGATATCTGCTTCTTGCAACGTTGTGTGACCAAAAGTCATGAGGTCATAAAAGCACAGTATTGTTTAATATTTGGTGCAGCACTCAGTTTTACTTGCATAATAATTTCTCTCACTGGGGTCACTTGGATTCAAATATTTTTAAGACACCCTTACCTGCCACAACTCTCAAAAATTTATTCCTCTCGGTACACAAACAGTAATCTTTGGATTCCCTCTGTCAAGTAACTTCCTCATTTTCACTCTAAATCTTATATATGTACATTGAATACTGTAAACTAGGTACTATTATAAATAAATACTATGCATGAATATATTTGTATATCAGTATCAAACTTCATTACAGACTAGACTACCCATCATGTTGGGAGTTTACTTGCTGTTAAATGTGGAGAATCTTTTTAATTCACCAAGTCAAGAAGTTGACTCAGTTCTATAAAATCCTATATATATATATATATATATATAAATCTTTCGTAAATGGGTCAATGTAAATCATAATTCAGCATTATAAATATGGGGAAATGTCTGCATATCTATCGGTTAAACTTAAACATGCCAATCAGTCATGTGGTGGCTTCTGTATGTTTGTATTTACGAGCACGCTCTTGCTTCCAACCTACTCAATAACATTCAGAATCATTTATCTACATATATTATCTCTTCTGGTCCTTAAGAACAACTCAACTAATTTAAACAAATTAATAAAGTCAAATAAATCAATTAATTATAACAAATATAACATGATTTTGAAACTGTATAATATTAGATTATATATCAGTTTATAATAAATTAGTTTTGAGGAAAAAAATGATAAATGTGAAAGATAAAATGGATTAAGGTTTTATATTTAAAACTAAATCTAATTCTTTAATTAGCTCTTATATAAAGAATTAATCAAACCCCACCAATTTAATTTTCATCTCCCTCGCAAATGGAGTTAATCAGATCAAGAACATGAAGTAGTGCTGGGGCTGTTCTGAAACCTACAAGTGCGTGTAGGTTTACGTGTCTCCACACACACATATACACACATATTAGGGTTCACAGTTTGATTTTTAAAAGAGAGGAAGAAACAAGAGAATGTGAACAAGATCATGATGGTGAAGATTGCCGATTTCAGAAGCTTGCACTGTAAATTAAACACCACGCGTACTAAGCATATGGGCCTATCAGTTTCATAAACATTAAACTAAACTAATCTTGATTATAAAAGTATTTTCTCCATATGTTTATACACTAATTAGAGTACACATGTCGACGAATCTGCAAGTTTCTGTATATATAATAAACCTTTTTTCTGCATCTCTTGTTTTTTCCCCCTTTCTTTCTTTTTTTTATAAAAAAATTAACTTTTTTTTTTACAGCAGGATATTCGTTATAGTTTAAACCCAACAAGTTATTCATCGAAATGAGAAATTAATTACCTACGAGCAGCTTGTTGATGGATCCAATGGAATTTTTGAATTTTATATATGCATATGTAACTGAGCCGGATCAGACATACATAAGAGGCTCCAACTTTGTATGTGAAGTATTTTTAATAATGCATATATGAATTCAATACTTACTTTCACTAATTTTTATTTTCTTTTGCTATCTCTTTTCACTCAGTTTTATTAAATTTTAAGTTATATGTATAATCTGTCAATATGATAGCGAAGTATTTCAAAGGGCATATCTGATTCAATTTATTTTAGGCGATTTTATACTGGTACGAAATAAACATAAGAGAAGAATTTTGTCTTATATTTTGGTCTTACAAGTATACATGATTGCTGCAAATATGAGGAATTTTTTCAGTAATTTATAGGTACTTTTATATTATTAATATTTTTTGAATATAGAACCAACCCATCAAAATTTTATTATGATATAATATACCTATTTCATTATTAAATCGTGAAGTAGTAAAAAAGCAAAAAGAAAAAAATTAAACCTACATATGAATTATTATGGCAACAGTTGGGTTACAGGCATTAACAATAATAGCATGTTAATTAATTTATTTTATTTGATAATGTGAACAGAGATGTGGTGAGTTGATTAGTTTGTCTCCTTTTCAAAAGACTCGTTCACTTAAAAAACTAATTAATGATAGATGCTACTTTCGGCTTTTATCCTACAACTAATTAATTAAGATGAAGGTGATTGAGATTTTGTTAAAGATATTGTGATGATATCCAAAAGAGGGAGACAATCATGTGGCCTCAAGCAACATTTTCAAAAGACAGATTTAATTACATATTAATCCACATTCCATGATCATCAAAAGATGAACAATTAAAGTTTGATAAAGAAAAAGATATAAAAAAAAGAGATGAATAAACAAATTAATTAAGCCACATCATCTTGGTAATCGACGAGTTAATTCGTTAAGATATAACTTAATTGACTCTAAAAATCTCTTTTTATGTTTTTCTTAAGCATGAAGTTGTAAGTTCAGATTCTCTATAAAGAGTTTGCTGGGTGTCTACGTTATGACTCCAAAAAAATAACTAAAGCATCAAACAGTAAGAAATTGAAATTATATCTGAAACTATACATTAATAAGATATTACTCCTCCAATCCTAAATATAAGACTCATTTTACAATATAATTTGTATTATAAAATGTGTTTTATATTTAGAACCGGAGGAGTATTTAAAAGTTTGTCCAATTAATACGTGTGATTAATTATAAATTTTATTAATACACATTCATTTGGTATTCGGTATTATCAAATCAGAAACTAGTACTATCTGGCCTATGTTATCAAAAAAAAAAAAAAGTACTATCTGGCTTATCAGAGGTAGCTTTCTGCTTAATTTTATTCTTTTCACTCACAAGTTCAAATCACCAAATATGTTATCTAAAGAGAGTCAAGTTCTTTTCATTCAACCCAATAATGCTATCTAATCATACTTTATATGGTCTATTTTTGTGACAATATAATAAAAATGAGAATGAATAGGAATTTCATATAGATAATAGATGCTATAAAAAAATATACATGGATGAGTAGTGACGGAGATATAGTGGAGTGGTGGGAGTAGCTTTTGGGAAAAAGAAGAACAAGATCGCTTATTTTGAGGGCACATCACGTGAGGAAGGGAATCCATAATTTTATATTAATCCACTTATTAATTATTAATTGGAACATATTATATTCTAAATTTAATTGTTTAATAATAGTAGTAGTTAAGATGGGGGCTGGGCTGAAGAAAGAAATACAAGAACAAAATTGCTGAGAGAACATAAAGTGACAAAAGGAAGAAGGAAGAAAAGAAGGTAAACGGCGCAGCCCCTGATTTTAAGGGTCGTGAGGCCTTGAAAGACTCCCACACCGGAATCTATGCAACTTTTTGGCTGTATATCAAGCTCAATCCACTTTGCTACCCGGATCATGACTTATATTCAGATTATCACCATTTAAAGAGGAAAAACCATACACAATGAGATGATATTGTGATTTATGATTACTTCATTTGTGACAATTAATTAAATTAAATTAAATTAATAAGTGACACTAACTAATTTATTCATCCATCATTTTAAAAAGAATAAAACTCTTTTTTTTGAGCTTCCTGAATAATAAGCCACTCAAAATCATATAGTTGAGTAAAAAATTAAAAAAATTGATATAATAATAAATAATATATAACTTATCCATAATTAATAAGAATAAAAAATATCATGTAGGTTTAAACTTGAATTTTTTTACTCAAACTATTATAAAATATTTATTGATATAATGAATTTCTTATGTCAGTTTTTGTTTTAAATTTTCAATTTTATTAAGCAGGAGGATTCAACTTATTCAAATAAAATAATAGTATGAAATGGATAGGCAAAAATATGGAACAACTTTTTTTTCCTCTGTGAACAGTAGAACTGTACTGCCCTACACGTTTTTCAGAAAGCTTACAAAAATTATTAATTAAAAATAATGAAAAAATAAATTAACTAGTGTTGGGTATTAATTTAATTAATTAGAGTCAATGTTCGACCTAGAAATTTAAATTAGTTTGAATTAATTCAAATAAATTGTAAATATTTTACTAAATGATATGAAAATTATAGAAGGTGGTGAGAAAATATAAGGATTGTGGTGTGAATAGGGGTAATTTCAGTCTTTTTAAGTTTAGATTTTAATATCTGGTCCTTCTAAATAATTAAGGTTTCGAAGATCTTTTCTAATAAATATCATTTTCATCTGGTCTCTCTCTCTAATTTTTCCTTAAAAGAATGTACATGCTATAAAAAAAAAAATTTCCTAGAAACAGGGATGGTAATACATTGTAGGTTGCAAGTTAAGATTACTTGGTGCGGGTTAAAAAGATACTCGAACCCATCAACTCATCATATATATTTACTTTTGTAAAAAATTATTTATAATAAATCTTTTTTTTTAAATTCTTGATTGAAACTTAAAAGTAACAAGTAGAGGATATAAACATATCTTTAATTTTTTTTAAATAATCCATGACAGGATATTCTCAGCTCTATTTTCAAATACGATTCTAAAATATAAAATGTGTACTGTATATCCAATTTTGTGTAAAGAACCAATGGCGTTTTAGTTTCATACTCCTGTCTTTTTCCGTAAGATACAAATTATTATATTATTTAAATTAAACGAGTCGGCCAAAATTTTAAGATAATAAATATGTAACAATGCCATCTATTTTTTTCTTTTTTAAAAAAACACCATTTCTAGAGAGTGAAAGTGGCGGGATTAATGCAGTGACGGTGAGACTGACCGCAATCATGGGAATAAAAAATTGAAAATGATACTATTTCAGACAAATCATTAATGTCTCCTACAAATAAATAAAAACAGGTGATTCCAAAAAAAATCTTATATATATGATAATTATTTTGTATCACTCTCTAATAAATATGAGATATTGTTTAATTTTTTGAAGAAAATGATAATTAGTGACACTA